TTTTTGATGGAAAACTATTTAAATGTTCCCAAAAGTAAAAACATATCATAAAAAGTTGAAAACCACTTGGTTGGTTTGGACGCCAAAAACCAACGCCGATAACCGAATGCCGAACGCCGGTTTCTGAAAAACCGAACGCCGGTTTCTGAAAGCCGAACCCCGTATGGCTTGGGTTTTGGTTTGGGCAAACACCAAATGTTTTTAATATGCTTAAGCATGTTTGAAAATAATTTTGATGATATGTAAAATGCAATAAAAATGTTTTAGCCTAAAGAGCCAAAGTGCAAAGCTTGGGTCGGTCTTGATCACATTGTGACCGACTCAATGACGCTAAAGACTACGGTCTTCGTTCTTGGTCTCTTTTAGCTCTTGTTCTCTTGCTTTCTTCTTATATTTATTTCTCGCCTTGTATATTCAACAACTTGTCTCGTTCATGGCGGTTTGGCATTATCAAAACCTGTCATAAAAACGAACACGGCTTTAGTACGAAAACGTGATAAACCCGTGTTTCAACAAATGGGTGTTCCATAACAAACTTGATGAAAATGGGATAATCACTAGAAACAAAGCTAGGCTCGTAGCTAAAGGCTACAATCAGGAAGAAGGCATTGATTTTGAAGAAACTTATGCACCCGTAGCACGCTTAGAAGCTATTCGTTTACTTCTTGCTTTTGCTTCGTCTATGGATTTTAAACTCTATCAAATGGATGTTAAGAGTGCCTTCCTCAATGGTTTTATTCAAGAGGAAGTGTACGTTGACCAGCCCCCGGGGTTTGAAGACTTTGAGTATCCCGACCATGTCTTCAAACTCAAGAAAGCGCTCTACGGTCTTAAACAAGCACCCCGTGCTTGGTACGAACGTTTGAGTAAATTTCTTTTGGACAGTGGCTTCCAAAGGGGAAAGGTTGACACTACACTTTTTATCAAGAGTAAAAACAATAACATTCTTTTGGTTCAAGTTTATGTAGACGATATTATATTTGGTGCTACTAACGAGTCTTTGTGCAAGGAATTCTCAACGTTAATGACAAGCGAGTTCGAAATGTCAATGATGGGTGAACTCACGTTCTTTTTGGGACTCCAAGTCAAGCAAATGAAAGATGGCACATTCATTTACCAAACTAAATATTGCAAGGAGCTCCTAAAACGGTTCGAAATGGACAATGCCAAAGCCATGGCAACTCCGATGAGCACATCCGACCATCTTGACAAAGACGAGAAAGGTAAGGAAGTAGAAGTCAAAAGGTATCGAGGGACGGCTCGAAGTGAAGAATTCTGGAAGTCAGGGGAACCAGCGATGGGTGGGTTATACCATCGCTGGGAGGGTAGTTCAATTTTTTTCAGAACTCCTCTTCCCATCGATGGGGACGTCTTCCCATCGATGGGTGATTGACTATTTTTTTAAAACTTTTTAACGGATTTCCAGAAACTCTTTACCCATCGATGGGTATTTTATCCCATCGCTGGGTGAATGACTTGTGTTTTAAAATTCTTTTCCAGAACTAGTCTACCCATCGATGGGAACCTTCTCCCATCGCTGGGTGTTTGACACTATTTTTTTTAAAAATTTTTTAACGGATTTCCCAAAACCACCAACCCAGCGATGGGATGGTATAAACATCGCTGGGAAGGCTTTTGACACTTTTTCTTACCTTTCCAGGATCCACCCTCCCATCGATGGGAGAAGCCAAACATCGATGGGAAGGCAGCCTTGATTTCTTCCTTCGCTTTCTAGTGGTGACCTTCCCATCGATGGGAAGTCTTACCCATCGCTGGGAAGGCTGGTGCATTTCAAAAATTCAGAGCCCTTGGGCACCACATTAATTGCCCAACAGCCATATTTTTGAATTCAAATGGCCAAATCCTCCCTTCCCTATATATATCCATCATATTTGTTCATTCTAATACACCATTAACATCATACTTTCATTCTTTCATCCAAATCTACATATTTGATATCTCTTTCTTCAAAAGTGCCCCAACAATGGCCGGTGGAAAGTCCAAGTCGAAGGCCTCCAAGAAGAAGGGCAAGGCTGAAGCTACGACATCTGCGCCCCAACGGTTTCCCTATCTAAACGGCTCATTTCTTGAGTTCGGGCCAGAGGAAGAACTCACGCGCTTCCTCAATCACTTTGCCAAACGCCCGATCTCTCCACCTCGCGTGCTACCGGAGCTATATCCTCAAGACAAAGGGTACCACGACCTCGACAATCAACTCAAAGAGTCGGGTTTGTGGCCCTTCGTCTCCAAGAGCCGCACCTCCTTCAATCCCGCCTATGTCTGGGCCTTCTACTCAAATCTGCGCCGTGACGGGGACACCATCTACAGCAGCATCAATCTCTACGACATAGAGATTGACTTGCCGACATTTGCACGGATCGCAGGGCTGCCCATCCGCGGTGACGACATCGCGACATATGGTGGCGTTGATTGGATCCTCAACAACGAGGCAGTCGTCATCCGCGAGCTTGGGATCACAAACTTGATCCACCACAGGGGCGCGCCGACGATCCACTCGGCCCCACCGGACAAGCGCCTCCTTCTCTACATCATCAGCCAGATTCTTCGCTCCCGGGACAGCAGCCACACATCGCTCTTCAACGAGGACTTGAAGGCGATTCATGCCATCATGCACGGCGCCTCCATCAACTGGGTGAAATTCATCATGATTCACATGGCGGATTGCGCCTCCATCGCCACCGAGCGGAGCTTGCCATACGCCTTCCTCGTCATGGACCTCATCGTCTCCGCCGACATCAACATCACCGGGCCAAGCACGAAGATGACGAAGCTGTGGGTCATCGCTGACACCACCCTCAAGAAGAAGTCCGGCGACCAAGACGGCGCCGGACCGAGTCGTGCCCGCGCCCCAGCCCGTGCCCCTGCACCCGCTCTTGCCCGAGCCTCGTTGCAGTCCATAGCCAACACACTAAATCGGCTGACCCTCACGGTGGACGACATGGGGCAGTACATGGAGCAGATGGATTGGACGCTGCAACATCAACACCACGACATGACGGCGTTCTTCCGCGGCATCAACTACGTCCCGCCGCCCTTTGACAGCACCATCCTTGAGGATGAGGACGACGACTGCTACGCTCCGTCCTCCTCCCCCGACGAGGCCGACTTCGAGGACGCAGTTGACGGCGATCCCATGGACGTCGAGGACGACGAGGATGACGAGAGGATGACGAAGCCGACTCCTAGACTCTTTTTATTCCACTTTTAATTTGATTGTTCTTCTTTCCATCTTCATTCCGTTGTATTCCGCATTTCCCTTTTGTTTTAATGAATAAAAGTTTACTTTTAATTCTACAGTTTACTTTTAATTCTTTTTGTTAATGTCAAAAGGGGGAAGATATAAAGGTTATGCATAAATTAAGGGGGAAGTTTTTATTCCTCACAAATAATTTGTTGAAAATAAAATTGCATCTACTAAGGGGGAACATTTTTTTTAAACCTCAAAATAATCCTCCTATGCATAACCTCGCCTTGTTTGCCATTATCAAAAAGGGGGAAATGGTTGAAACACGGGCTTGTCACGTTTTCGTACTAAAGCCGTGTTCGTTTTTATGACAGGTTTTGATAATGCCAAACCGCCGTGATCAAGATAAGACATTGAATATACAAGGCGAAGAACGAAGATAAGAACAAGAGCTAGACGAAGACCAAGAACGAAGACCGTAGTCTTAGTATCGTTGAGTCGGTCTCACTTGTGATCAAGACCGACCCAATCTTTACACCTTGGCTCTTTAGGCTAAAATTATTGTCATGGCATTTCTTACATCATAAAAATGTTTTTCAAACATGTTTAAAACATGCCATCATCCGGCCTCCGTGCTTAACAGCCTCACGCTCTGAGAAAATTAGGGTTCCGTTTATATACTCTTGGATAATGTGTTTTGTGGGATCGGAAAGAGGAGGAAGGCGATGATGAGGGTATGTATGTAAATCTCGTTAATCTGATTCATATATGAGGATTATACTTCCCATCCATTCATTTTTCTCACTAAGCTCCTCCTCTCCGATCCGCCTAAAAAAACATGTTTAAAACATTAAAAACACTTGGTGTTTGCCCAAACCAAAAACCAAGCCATCCGGCGTTCGACTTTCAGAAACCGGCGTTCGGCTTTCGGTTACCGGCGTTGGTTTTTGGGGTCCGAACCAACCAAGTGGTTTTCAACATTTTATGATTGGTTTTTACTCTTTGGCATGTTTAAAATGTTCTCCAACAAAAACACCTTGAAAACCACCTTCCGTTTTTGGTCGTTTAGGAAAAACCACGTAAAACGGCATAAACTTGGCTAGCTGTGGTTTTTTTACCCAAATGACGTGGTTTTTAAAGTGTCTCACTTGATTTCTTAGCCAAATACATCAAATAAGTATTTTGAACACTTGGTTTTTAATTTGGAGAAATTTGGATTTTTCGGTCGGCTTTTGGATCGGTTGGCTAGGCCGTGGTTAAGGCAAAAGCCATGGGTTTTTGGCTAACCACCCACCCAGCGATGGGAAGAACCTCCCATCGATGGGTAAGCAGTCCCTTAGCCAAACCAACTTCCAGAACCATGAAAAACAGCGATGGGAAGTTCTACCCATCGCTGTTAAAACCTTGGTCCAACATCAACACAAGGCAGAACAACCTTACCCAGCGATGAGAAACTTATCCCATCCATGGGAACCCAGCGATGGTAAGGCTAAACCATCGATGGGAAGCATGACCATTGGAAGTCATTTAAGGTTGATTCTTTCCTTGTTTGGAAGTCAACCTCCCACCCAGCGATGGGAAGCTTGTACCCATCGATGGGTAGGTGACCGTTGGCTTCAAAACTGAAGGAAAATTGGCCTACCAGTGATGGGTAGACACCATACATCGCTGGGAAGCCAATATCCTGCAGATCCACAATTTATTCAATCTCATAAATCAAGCCAATCACCCCTTTAATGTATTGGTCCGTTGGAGCCTATTTTGGCACTATAAAAAGGGGTGTTTGGGTCTGCTTTTCTCATCAATTCACTTCACAATTATCATACTTTCATTGCATTCAAACAACATCTATTTTCATAGCTTTCTAGAGCCAATTCGTGTGAAGTTTGAGTTGTTCTTGAACGTATTTAGTTTACTCAATATCTACTCTAAAAGAGAGTCTCGTTCTTGAGTGTATTTGTGTTCTAAGACACATTGAGAGAAAGTATTTCTCTCGGTTGATTCGAAGGAAGGGCTGTTTCCTTCGAAGGTTTCGTTGAGGTTCGTGTGACTCGAATTCTCAAGTTGTAGGAGTTTGTTAAGCACCGTTAAGTTTAACGAGATAGTAGTGTAGCTCGAGAGAGTCTCTCGGGAGGCTGGATTAGCCACAAGTTGTGGTGAACCAGGATAAATTCGGTGTGCCTCTTACTCTTCTCTTTACTTCTCCTTTAAAGTTTTTTTACTCCTGCGAATTCTTGATCAAACGCTATTCACCCCCCTCTAGCGTTGGTCTATTATTCTAACACTTGGGTGAGGAAGTCGATCTTGGCTTCATGTACTTGGTCCGTTCCTTCGTACGTCACCTCGAGCTTATCCCACATCTCCTTGGCAGTTGAGCAGCAGGAGATCTTGCGGTAGTCGTCGGGGTTGACTGCGCAGTAGAGCATGTTAATCGCCTTTGCGTAGTTCTCTACTTTCTTGATGTCTTTGGCATCAAATTCGTCTTCGGTCTTGGTGATCAACTTGTCTCCGACTTTCTTCATCGGCACCTCTTCCCCGTTTTTGATAACCAACTTTAATTGGAAGTTCGTGGAACGAATATAGATTCTCATTCGTTCTTTCCAATATGTATAATTGGTTCCATCAAAAAGAGGTGGCCGTGTGGTTGATTTCCCTTCACCTATTCCTGCATACAAATTTCTAGAAGAAGAACCCATGATCGCTTTTCTCTCAGCTCAAACGGTTAAGTTTGGACGCGAGTTAGGCTCTGATACCAGTTGTTGAAACACGGGTTTATCACGTTTTCGTACTAAAGTCGTGTTCGTTTTTATGACAGGTTTTGATAATGCCAAACCGCCGTGAACGAGACAAAGTGTTGAATATACAAGGTGAGAAATGAAGATGAGAACAAGAGCTAAAAGAGACCAAGAACGAAGACCGTAGTTTTAGTGTCGTTGAGTCGGTCACAAATGTGATCAAGACCGTCCCAAGCCTTACACTTTGGCTCTTTAGGCTAAAACCTTTTATTGCATTTCTCATATCATAAAAATGATTTTCAAGCATGTTAAAACACATTAAAAACACTTGGTGTTTGCCCAAACCAAAAACCAAGCCATCCGGCGTTCGGCTTTCAGAAACCGGCGTTCGGCATTCGGTTATCGGCGTTGGTTTTTGGTGTCCGAACCAACCAAGTGGTTTTCAACTTTTTATGATTTTTTTTAACTTCTGGGCACATTTAAATAGTTTTCCATCAAAAACACTTCAAAAACCACCTTTCATTTTTTGTCGTTTGATAAAAACCATGCGAAATGGCATAAACTTGGCTAGCCGCGGTTTTCACTTAAATGAAGTGGTTTTCAAGTCTTTTTGTGTGGGAATTGTTTTTGAATGCATTTAAATGGTTCTCTAATCAAAACATCATGAAAACCACCTTTCAGTTTTGTCTTTTGGTAAAAACCACCTGTGTACGACGTTGACTTGGTCAACCGTGGTTTTTACCTTAACGACGTGGTTTTCAACTTACAAAGCTTGTTTTGACATCACAATACATTAAATAAGTGTTTTAAATACTTAGTTTTTACTTTGGAGAACTTTGCATTTTTCGGTCGGGTTTCAACGTCGGTCAGCTAGGCCATGGTTCTGGGCTAGCCATCTACCCAACGATGGTAGATATCACCCATCCATGGGTAAGTGATATCGGGATTCCAGAATCATGCAACCCAGCAATGGGAGATATTACCCAGTGATGGGTAAGCAGCCTTCAGCCCAGCTGATTTCCAGAACCATGCCAAGCAGCGATGGGAAGTTCTACCCATCGCTGTTCAAGCCTTGGTCCAACATTATCACAAGGCAGAATGCCCTTACCCAGCGATGGGAAGCTTTACCCATCGATGGGAACCCAGCGATGGGAGGGCATACCCATCGCTGGTTAGGCATGGCCGTTGTGAGTCATTTAAGGCTAATTCTTTCCTTGTTTGAAAGTCAACCTCCCACCCAGCAATGGGAAGCATTTACCCATCGATGGGTAGGTGACCGTTGGCTTCAAAACTGAAGGAAAATTGGCTTTCCAGCGATGGGTAAGTCCATACATCGCTGGGAAAGCCAATATCCTGCAGATCCACATTTTAATCAATCCCATAAATCAAGCCAATCATCCCTTTAATGCCTTGGTCCGTTGGAGCCTATCTTGGAACTATAAAAAGGAGTGTTTTGGTCTGCTTTACCAAACAATTCACTTCACATTACACATATTATCATTGCATTCATATAACATCTTTTTCCATAGCTTTTTTAGAGCCAAATTTGTGAAGTTTGAGTTGTTTTTGAGCGTATATAGTTTACTCAACATTTACTCTTAAAGAGAGTCTTGTTCTTGAGTGTTCTTAGTGTTGTAAACACATTTAGGGAAGCTTGTTTCCCTTGGTTGTACGAAGGAAAGGTATTTTCCTTCAGGATGAAGTCTTGGAGTGCAGTATCTCAAAGCAAGTGTATTGAGGCTTGTGGAACTCGAGTTCTCAGGTTGTAACAGTTTGTTAAGCACCCGTAAGCTTAACGGAAGTAGTGTAGCTCGAGAGAGTCTCTCGGGAGACTGGATTAGCCACACGTTGTGGTGAACCAGTATAAATCTTGGTGTGCTCCCTTTACGCTTTCTACGCTCTTTACTTTTCACGTTCTTAATTTTTTATTCCTGCGATTTCTACGATCAAACGCTATTCACCCCCCCTCTAGCGTTGGTCACTTATTCTAACAATAACCCTTGATATTACTTAAATAAAGCCTCAAAAAGAGTTATAGCATTATCTCTTTCTTTTTCCCATTCTATTAAATGGT